AACTCAAGGATTTTTTTCTGTCGAAGCTATTCATTGAACCACACTGTAGTGTTCCGATTAGATGTCAATAGATAGTAAATCAAAAGTTGTGATAGTATACATATGACTCCTTTTAACCAATAATGATTAGTTTGGACACAAAGTTGAAAAATCTCGAATTTGAACACCCTATACCTCCGTAATTATTTCCGCTAGATCCCAAGTGTGATGCATTGATGAAATCATCTCTTCAGGGAGAATATAAAAATGAAATGAAATACAGGGTGTCTTATTTCAAAAAATCAACTAGTTTATACCCTGTAGATCGTTTGTTCCGACCACCCTGTATTTTCTGATGTAGCGGAAAAAACTTATTGAAAAATCATTTCAAATGATCCCTTAAATTTTGTGATCGGTTCACAAATAACTGAGCTAGAGGGGAGGGGACATTTATGGTGAATCACCCTGTACAGAACATGTTTGAATGCTTCTCAATTTGATCATTTTCAATGACTTCTTCCAAAAATCTTTTCGCGTTGGAGATACCCAAAAAAGCTATTCGAAATATTGGTTGGAATCCGGAAATTGATTTTGAACCTACATGTACCGAATTTTCACGCATAATTCGAATTCAAAATTTTGAGAGACAGTAAGGGAGACAAAAGTTGATGAACGTACATTTGATAAAATAATGATTTCCAATTTGTTATTCAATACGTTCATTTGATTGATTCTGACTATATTATCATTTGTGTAACTTTTTATTTCTCGTTCTATTCAGAACCATTTATTGAAAATCGGACTTGAATATGAGAATTACAAAAACAAATCGAATTCTTTCGTAGAAATTCAATATGTAGGGTCAAAATACAGGGGTGTCTTCATCTCAAGTGTGTCACTCTGTAGATATATGGAAAAAAAACAACGAATTTTCTGAAGGAATTCTCCCATTGAAATGGAAAATCATTCTTGTGCATCCGATATTTTGTTTAATTTTTCGACTCTTTCTAGTCTTTCTAGTAAATATCGATTCTGTTTGTTATACAGTGTGTCCCACTTACCATGCTCACCATGGGTATCTTTTTAACGGTGAGAGATAGGAGGTCGGTTAAATGACACCAAATGTGGAGTTTGTCAAGGCCAACTATAATGTGAAAAAATATTTTGATAAAATCTATTCGTTTTTGTTTTATACGCAAAAAACAGATTTTGATCAGTTTCATGTCTCCTCCGTAACTTCTTTATTTATGAAAATATTCGAATAGGAATTCCACATTCTCATGGCAGTTTTTCAAAGTGATTTCGAAAAAAATATGAAATTGATACCAACTCTTCTAGAATTTGAGATATCAGCACCAACTTTAGTTTTTCAAATGTAGGTCATAGCTCACTATGTCTTAGTTACAAATTACTTTTTTTTCTCTTACAGATGATGTGTCGCAGTAGTAGTTTTGTGTTGATAACAACGGAGTTATCGTCATTTATACAAAAACAAAAAATTATTTGGAAGCCGCCATCCTGAATTTATAAATTTTAACAAAAAAATCATGATCTCCGACCTTGAAAACCCCTACTTACCAATTTTGAATGGAATCGGACCAAATCTTGTCCGCCATCTTGGAGCAGCCATTTTTTTTTAATTTCAACAAAAATTCCATAACTCCGATCAACATGAAATTTGGCAGGTGTTCATAATTTCGGTGACAATACATTTTGGAATTTTTGTTGAAATTAAAAAAATGGCTGCTCCAAGATGGCGGACAAGATTTGGTCCGATTCGATTCAAAATTGGTAAGTGGGGGTTTTTGAGGTCGGAGATCAAGATTTTTTTGTTAAAATTTATAAATTCAAGATGGCGGCTTCCAAATAATCCTTTGTTTTTGTATAAATGACGATAACTTCGTTGTTATTGACACAAAACTATTACTGCGACATATCATCTGAAAGAGAAAAAAAAGTTATTTGTAACTAAGTCATAGTGAGCTATGACCTACATTTGAAAAACTAAAGTTGATGCTGATATCTCAAATTCTAGAAGAGTTGGTATAAATTTCATATTTTTTTCAAAATCACTTCCAAAAACTGCCATGAGAATGTGAAATTTCTATTTGAATATTTTCATAAATAAAGAAGTTACGGAGGAGACATGAAAATGATCAAAATCTGTATTTTGCGTATAAAACAAAAACGAATAGATTTTATCAAAATATTTTTTCACATTATAGTTGGCCTTGAAAAACTCCACATTTGGTGTCATTTAACCGACCTCGTATCTCTCACCGTTAAAAAGATACCCATGGTGAGCATGGTAAGTGGGACACACTGTATATGATCTTGGGCCACTCTGGGCATTTCTTGGTGAATACACCTATTTCTGAAACACCCTGTGCATAGAATAGAATCTATCTAATACATCGTGAAACGGATCTCTATGTCGGTGGCATGGACCTTTGAAGACTTTTTTCGATAGTCTAGACACGTATGATTTATATTTGTCGAGTTAATTTTCGTTCTCGCGAATAAAAACAAGCGGGTTTTTCTTTCGGCAAACAAAAAACAAAGGACTGCTCGCTCGAATTATGCAAATCAATCGAGTGGTCGCGTATCGAACGAAACCAGTGGCGTACGCAAACGTTTCAACAAATATCAATACCTACCTACATACCTATCCCTCACAAAAAATAACAGTTCTTCAGAAATTGCAAAGAAACTATGTACAGGGTGAGTCATGACTAACCAGCCATAGCCTAATGGTAGATAAAGGAAGTCAAGATGAGTTGATATGTGGGTATGTGGAAACATACAGGGTTAGGCAAAAGTATGGAACCAGGTGAAAATCTCGGTAACAGTTTGTTACATTATTTTGAATATATGTACAGGGTGATTTCAAATCGTGGTGGATTCGAAAATGATATCGTCGATGTTGCCACTTATTCAGTTTTTCCGGAATTATTATTAACTTCCTTATATTATTGAGTTTTCAGATTCTCCCTGAAAAGCTGATCCATCGATTGATCACACTTGGGGTCTAGCAAGAATGATTACTGAGATATAGGGTGTTCAAAATCGAGATTTTTCAACTTAAAGATTTTTTGTGTCGAAACTATTCATTATCGGTCAAACCGGCATTCATGTCTCTATCTCAACTTTTGATTCACTATCTATTGTTATTCAATGGTAACAAATACAGGGTGATCAGATTTCTGAATCTTGAACCACCCTGTATTTGTTTCAATTAGATGTCGGTAGATGATAGTAAATCAAAAGTTAACGTAGGGACATGTAAGCCGTTTTGACCAATAATGAATAGTTTCGACAAAAAAAAAAATCCTAAAGTTGGGAATTCTCGATTTTGAACACCCTATATCTCAGTAATCATTCTTGCTAGACCCCAAGTGTGATGAATCAGGGAGAATCTAAGAATTCAATAAAATACAGGGTGTTCTATTCAATATGAGGAAGATCATAATAATTCCGGTATGACTGAAAAAGTGACAACATACACGATTAAATTTTCAATTTTCAAATCCACCACGTTTTGAAATCACACTGAACATATATACAAAAAAATCTAACAAACGATTAACGAGATATTCACCTGGTTCCATACTTTTGCCCAACCCTGTGTATTTTGCCTATTCGTAACAGAAATACAGGGCATTATTTGAATTCGGGACAAATCTTTGCTGAACGATATTTCACGAAAGTCTCGATGTTATCGTCTGAAAATGACCAGCAACTCTCTACTAATACTCCATAAGATGACCTACTATGGAAAAAAATCCAGAGACGGACTTGAGAAATTCATTTTCTTTATAAATGTCATAATTTTGACTTTCTGGATCGTATTTTTCAAAAACTCTTATCAGAATCAGAAAGATCAGGAAAAACATTACAAGTATGGCTTTTCATTTTGTACGGCACACCTCGATCAAATCGTTAAAAAAATATCGAACAAAATACCGAAGAACGTTTCCATGATTTCGCACTGGCATATTATTGTAGTCAAATCGTTGGACAAATTCATTCAAATCCATTTCTTGCATATCGATGTACCATAAGAACTGAAAAGAGGCTCTATTCGATGAAAAAATCCAGGACTGGCCTTGATTTTCTGGAAGAGACCTTTATATGAACATAAATAATTTCCAATTGAAATCTGCTTCTACATGTGGAAATGTGGAAATATTGTACTCAATATGAGGAATTATAACATTTATAAAGAAAATGAATTTGCGAAGTCCGGCTCTGGAATTTTTTTCTCTAATAGGCCATCCTATGAAGTGTCTGTAGATAACATGGAGACGTTGCTGAAATATAGTTCAACGAAGTTTCGCCCCGAATACAAATAATGCCCTGTATTTCTGTTACGAATAGGAAAAAAAATCACCTTGACTTCCTCTATCCGTCGTTAGGCTAAGGCTGGTTAGTGACTCACCCATGTATATTGTATATTTTTTCAAATTCAAAATTCCGATATCACCAATACTCTACCGTGAAAAAAGTCAAATCGGGCGTATCTTCTTTACACCTCTCTTTAGAACAACACTGTTCCTACGTATGGGATTCAGTATACCCAAACATACGATGATTCTCTTTGATTCCATCCAGAGATAAGTCATTCACCTGTTACTTGGTTGGTGATATCATACTCACTAATTCCTTGACATCATTGGAACACCGAAGGAAAGTAGGCGACATTTCACTTTCCCATAGATACTTCCACGGGAAATGTTCTACAGAAATCTCTGCTATCATTCCAATACTAGAAATACCAGTAGACGTACTCGACAAGTCCATTCAGCACATCCTTATGTCGAACAAGTCTTTATCAAAACTCGTGTGTCTATGAAAGAAATAATTCCTAAATGCTTATATAACCTTGGAATGTTTAAAAATACATACCTTCTCTTCTTATCCTTCCTTGGTACACTCTGTAAATACATGCGGTGATATCGGTTTGGTAAAAAAGTAAAAAAGGAATTGGGATCATTGAATTTCAAATAAAAAAGTTGGCAAAGTACCTAAAAAAGTTCATCATTTAATTACAAATATCATGTTTGTACAAAAATTAATCGTGAATGATTGTTTGATAAAATAAATTAACTATTTACAAGATATCATTGATAATAAATACAAGTCTTCACCTATTGCCAATGGCCATTAAAAAAAAATATTTAAGTATACATCTTATCGAAATCTGCCGATGGACAGATGGTCTTAACCATGTACATTATAATAATTATGCTTTTCACAAAAAACATGATTGTCTTCGCTTTCGTTATCTTATGCTAATTTTATGTACCTATAAAATGTTTTTCTATGGCATTTCGATACATCGAGTTTCAATATGAGGTCACCGTGTACGTATGAATTTTTTGTGTCAAAATCAATAGCAGAATATCACGGCGTTAAAAAAAACACGCGATTGAATAACCAAATGTGACCTATACGTTATCTAGAACAAAAATTTGCATAACAAAAACAAGAAAAAAATATTCGACAACACGCTTTTTGTGTGCAGAAAAGCAGATTCAATGCCTTGGCTGGTTCTCTAGCCTTGGCTATGAAACGACAGACGCTAGTCTGCCTAGTAAAACAAATAACTATTAATTCCCATTCAACCTGAGCAGGCTGAGGAGGTGTCCACCTTGTATAACTAGCATCAACCTTCCTCAGTAAACTACCCCTCTTCACCCTCCCCACATACTTATCCAGAACAACCTGCTTCTTCAAAATGGTGACACTATGTCGTAGGAGTGTATCGCTATCCCTTTTGCTTGCATGCAGTGAACAAAGATAGAAAAACTATCTAGTGCGAACACTCTACTAGCTGTGCCCAATGCCATCGAACGTATATCCATCCTTCTTTCTCTAAAGCAGTAAACAAAGATGGATATACACGCCATCAGTTCTGTCCAATGAGAAACAGTAGGAATATCCTGGGCCCTCACATTGCTTCTTATCTGGTAGTTTGTCTAGAATGGTGATGGGTTGATGTTGATATACGATGGAGAATGAAAGGAAGGAACTTTTCTTCAAACTCTCCACATATTCATTCAATACATCATGCTTCTTCAAGATGATGTGCTTGCCCTTCCAGTACTTCATCATGTCCAGCGCTTGCAAAGTGGACACTATCTCATTGTCGTATGGGTGTATCGCCATCCCTTTATTAAGTAGGCAGTAGACAAAGATAGAAATACTATCGAGTGCAGTCACTACTCTAGCTCCGCCCAATGCCGTCGAGCATACATCCATCCTTCTTTCTTTCAGGCAACGAACAAATATGGATATATTCTCAATAACGAAACAACATGCCATCAGTTCTGTCCAATGAAAAGCTGTAGGAATATTCCAGTTTCTCGATTTCCCTTCAGTATACAGACATATCGTTTGCAATCTAGAAAGGTGATTGGTTGAGTTACAAACGAAACGTCATTATCCATGAATCATGATATATAGGTGGTCAGCGTAGCCTCGTGGTTAAAGCGTCAATGTTCTATCCACGTTGGATCGCCGGTAGGTGGGTGCAATTCCTACCACGACCGCAAAAATTGTTCAGATGGCCTAAGAAAGTATTTGGATCACACGTTAAAAGGTGATACCCCCGTCATTCCTTGCTCGCACAAGTCTCTTGAAGACTTCTGAGGGTTGCTCGTAAGGGGGCAACCGAATGATGGATAAGAACAATTTTCGAACAATTGGAGAACAATACCATAAGAGAGAAATAGGAGAAAACCTTGAAGTGTTATTCAACCTGACGCAGGCTGAGGAGGAGTCCACCTCAAACAACTAGGATCGACCTCCTTCAACAAACTACCCCCTTTTTTTATCCTCTCCACGTACTCATCCAAAACATCCTGCTTCTTCAAGATGATGTGCTTGCCCTTCCAGTACTTCATCATGCCCAGCGCTTGCAAAGTGGACACTATGTCGTAGAAGTGTATCGTCATCCCTTTCATCAGTATGCAGTGAACAAGAATAGGAATACTATCGAGTGCAGACACCAGCTCCGCCCAATCCCATCGAGCGTATATCCGTCCTTATTTCTTTGAAGCAATAAACAAAGATGGATATACTCTCGATTACGAAACAACACGCCATCAGTCCTGCCCAATGAAAGACTTTAGGAGTATTCCAGTTACTCGATTTACCTTCAGTACACTGACATTTCGTTTGCAATCTAGAAAGGTGATTGTGGTTGATTTACAAACGAAACGTCATTATCCATAAATCATGATATACCAGGAGAGATATAGAAGAAAACCTCAGTGATATTCAACCTGACGCAGGCTGAGGAGGAGTCCACCTCAAACAACTAGGATCGACCTCCTTCAACAAACTACCCCTTTTTTTCACCCTCTCCACATACTCATCCAAAACATCCTGCTTCTTCAAGATGATGTGCTTGCCCTTCCAGTACTTCATCATGCCCAGCGCTTGCAAAGTGGACACTATATCGTAGGAGTGTATGGCCATCTCCTGGCTGATGTCTTTCACAGAGAGCTGAGTGCCTGCTCTCGAGCAGAGATAGCTGAGTAGGACGTCCTTCCAGTAGGAGCGGTAGGAGATGAGACCGAGGTCGCTGAGAGGTTTTTCCGGGGAGCCTATTTTACCTTCGACCCGGGTGAGGAGGTAGCCTGGAAAAGAGTGAGAACTGACCACTGGTATAACTACTATACAGGGTGAGTCAATAGTATTTTGTTCTTCGATATTAGCCAAACCGTCAGGTATATAAAAAAAATTCGAATACAACAATTACAGAAATTTTATGAGTGCTATCACCTAAAATTACTTTCATATCTATAGGATTTTCGAATTCCAAGATATCGGCTGATGATGGGTGTTTTTAAATGTGACAGCCTGTATATTATTGCATTTTAAATTTTTTCCTGAAGAGCATCAATGCATCACACTTGTGGTCTAGCGGGAATGATTACAGAGATATAGGGTGTTCAGAATCGAAAATTTTCAAATTTGGAATTTTTTTTGTACATTATGGGTCGAAACGGCTTACATGACCCTATCTCAACGTTTGATTCACTATCTACTGAAATCTAATTATAATAGATACAGGGTGATCAGAAATCTTGAATTTTGAACCACCTTGTGTTTGTTCCAATTAAGTGTCAGTAGATGGTTAATCAAAAGTTGAGATAGGGACATGTGAGCCGTTTCGACCAATAATAAATAGTTTTAACACAAAAAAATCACAAAGTTGAAAAATATAGCTTTTGAACACCCTATATCTTTATAAACATTTCAGCCAGTCCCCAAGTGCGATACATTGATGAAATCAGCTCTTAAGGGAAAATCTAAAATTTGAAAACACTCATCATCAACCGATATCTTGGAATTCGAACATCCTATAGATATGAAAATAATTTTAGGTGATAGTTCCCAAGAAACCCTATAACTGTTGTATTCGAATTTTTTATATATATCTGACGGTTTGGCTAATGTAGAAGGAGAACACACTATTGACTCACCCTGTATATATCTAGACCGCTATACATCAGGGTCCCGCTGATTTAATAGAGACGGTATTGCTATTTCCTGAACGGTAAGTTGATCAAATTAGACAAAAGTTGCGTAGTTTGATCCTTCTCAATATGACGTTTTACACTTTGAAAAAACTTCAGCCGTTGCTGGGATAGTTGAAAAATAACTGGAAATGACCGATTTTGTTTTAATTTTTTTCTTGCTCAATATTCGAGAGAAAATAGAGGAATTTTGCGTAAGCAGGTAATTAATTATGACTGAGAAGTTGGGATTATCACTTATAATATCCCTAGCAGCAGAATTATTACCAATGATTTTTTTCAAGGTCACGAATGAAAATTATCTCGAGTCGAAGATGAGGGAAATTTCTATCAACAAAAACATGAGTGATATCGAGAAAAAATTGGTCAGAAATTAATTTAGCTGCGAGGGTGATTGGGTAGGAAAATTTCATGAATTGTAGTTGCTTCTAATAATGATAATGAGATGAACCCTGCGACCTATTCTGCGTAGATGTCAAATGAAATTTGACACATAGGAATAACTCTTTTTTCTACAAAACGTCAAAAAATGACAAACAAATTGCGAAGTGACACTTTTTTTCAGTTTCCTACGTTACTCGACTACGCCTCGTTGAAAAAATCAGATCTCGATCACCAGAGTAGCATTTCGAGCTCTAGATACAAAAATTACTATTTTATTAACTGAACTTCAGGTTACTGATGAAGATTTGATGTCCGAAATGAGTTTTACTCTAGTGAAGTCATATAACCTGTTTGCGAGAAATATAATTCACATATCACTGATACAAATGATTTTTTTGAAAGTTCCAAGCTCATCTAGATCAGAGTTCATACAAGTATACTTCTCCTATACATCTCAATTTTCATTTCAATACTGAACATATTGGTAAGTTATATTTTTGTATCATAATACATCATATTATTCTATTCGATTTGAGAGATAATGTTAATTCTCAATTTCAGAGAATTTTGATTTTTCATGCACTCTTTTTGGATATTCAACAGATATAATTCAATGTTCGACGTGGCAGATAGCCAGGAAAGTAGTTGTTTTCAGTTGAATTAAGAATTATATTATATGCATATCTTCATATGAAGGAGAATGCAAATTCTCTACTTCAGAAGATTTTGTTTTCAAATTCTTATCGTGTGTGTTCAATAGATGTTAATCAATGTTCGTCGTGGCATAAAGCCAGGAAAGTAGTTGTTTTCTGTTGAATAAACCGAGAAAGAATTGGTATTTTCATCACATAGAGAATACGAATTCTCAATGTATTTCTTTCAGACTTGGGTCGAATACTGAAATCCGGTATTCGAATACGAATCCTGAATACTGTACTCTTAATTGGATTCGAATACTCAAGATTCGAATACAAAGAAAAAAAAGTATTCGAATACAGATGTATTCGAATACCTGGATTCATTCACATATGAATATTTTATGAATATTCCAACTGAAAAAAAAAAAACATATGCGCACATAAAGCTCGTTTATATTATTGTATGTAGTTAATTTATAAAAATATATAAAAAAAAATAGAAAATATATTAAATAAAACTTCATGAATATTTTTTCGAACCAAAGTGCCACAATGAGGTTAAGGTAACACAAAATAATTGTTTAGCAAGATGATAATGGAAAATAATCTCAACTAATAAATAAAACTTGAAAGAAAATTCATTCCATTACAAATAAAACATAGGAACTAATAAAATATATATGATCGACCAATAATATATAGCGACGGCTCCGTTTAAGCGTAATGCAATATTCATAGAAATAATCAAAAGTATCCGAAAACAGGATTCGAATACCGGGATTCGAATACAAAGTGGGTATTTGAATACTGGGATTCAAAAACGGTATTCAGAATCCAGAATACCGAGTACTGGCCAAAAAAGTATTCAGTCGAATACCGAATACCAAATACACAAATGTATTCGAATAGTATTCGAATACCAGCCAAATGTATTCTGAATACTGGGTATTCGAATACTACACAAGTCTGATTTCTTTATACAGGGTGTAAATTTGAAAACTTCCAATGCGAATATCTCGCGAAAGAAAAAAGTTAAAAAAATGCCGTTTGGCAAAAATGCTAAAGAGTTAAGGGAAACTAGAACCACCATATTTCGGTCAAGGGATGAGTCACCCCGTCGGCGCGACACACCCCAACTTTGAAATGTCAAATGGCACTACCTTTTTTGTGATGCCTCAAATGAACAGTCTCAGTCAGTAGTATTCACCTGTACAAGACTTTTTTTCCACCCACTACAGGGTGTACGAAAAATATAAAGTCGAATAAAATAAAGTGAATTGTGTTAAAAGGATATTTTATCTGATCAGATGTTCAAAATGCATTCCATTCTGTTGTAAGCAATAGTATAATCGATGTTCAAATGCAATTCTAACATTTTGGAACACATCTCTTGGAATATATCGGCATTCTGCATTTTATTTTATTCGACTTTATGTTTTCCGTTCACCCTGTAGTGGGTGGAAAATAAGTCTTGTACAGGTGAATACTACTGACTGAGACCGTTCATTTGAGGTATCACAAAAGAGGTAGTGCCATTCGACATTTCAAAGATGGAGTGTGTCGCGCCGACGGGGTGACTCATCCCTCTACTGAAGTATGGTGGTTCTAGTTCCCCTTAACTCTTTAGCATATTTGCCAAGCGGCGTTTTTCTATCTTTTTAATTTCGCGAGATATTCGCATTGAATTCAAATTTACACCCTGTATTAGTATATACAGGGTGTTATTTAAGTACGTGGCCAAACTTGGAGGGGTGATTCTTTGAGTGATTCTAAGACGAAAAGTTCATATAAACATAGGTCCGGTAATGCTTCGTTTTCAAGATACAGGGTGTCAAAATTTTTAAAAGAAATCGGTTTTATCGTAAATATCTTAATAACCCTTCAACCCATTTTATTGAAATTTGGCAGTGTTATTCAAGGTCGTAAAGGGCTAATTTAACCCTAACTATATCAAAATTATCATGTCCAGTGGCGTCCCGGAAGGCACTGTAACACTGTAACCAATATTTTTGACAGAAAAAATGTGCGCCACAAACAATTTTTAAGCATAACAGATTCACCTGTAATCATTAAAAACTCTATAAAAACAATATTTTATTGTGTTGTGCCAGGGACGTGCCATGAAGTGATTTTCATGTTTTTTCTCAAAAACGAAACAAAAAAAAATTCTAGATATAAAAAAGTTGTAATTTTAGTTGCTCAATGTGAAACAAATACAAAAATTGCAAAAAAATCAGTGGCGCACATTTTTTCTGTCAAAAATATTGGTTACAGTGCCTTGCGGGACGCCACTGGACATGATAATTTTGATATAGTCAGGGTTAAATAAGCCCTTTACGACCTTGAATAACACTGCCAAATTTCAATAAAATGGGTTGAAGGGTTATTAAGATATTTACGAAAAAAACGATTTCTTTTAAAAATTTTGACACCCTGTATTTTGAAAACGAAGCATTACCGGACCTATGTTTATGTGAACTTTTCGTCTTAGAATCACTCAAAGAATCACCCCTTCAAGTTTGGCCACGTACTTAAATAACACCCTGTATACATTTCTTTTCAAATATAAACTATTGCAGCACAAGACACGCCCCCTACTACGGCAATTACGGCATTGCAAAATATAATCGAGCCCAGCACAATCCTGCAAAATCTAATCTTTGACAGCACAACGTAGCTGATTCATATAAATAAATTGATTGAAAAAGTAGCACATACCACGTTATATCTCATCTTCAAAGTACTTTACTTATGCAAAACTCAGAGACTATTTATCCTCAACGAACTAACCTATCCCTGATTGCAATATTTTTGAGGAAGGAAAACCGAATGGAGTGTAGAAACACATTGATTAATAATATATTTCAAAAGTTGAGTTCTTCAACAAAATTGAATAAAATGAGACTGTTTATCCTAAACGCACTAACCTATTTGACTTCAAATATTTTATGAAAAAGGAAAACCAGAATGAAGTAAAAAAACATTGGTGAAAAAAAAAAGTTGCAAAAAAAAGTTCGAGTTCACAGCGATTCGAACCATGAACCTTCAGACTGAGAGTCGACAGCGCTAACCAGT